AGATAAACAGGTCGGAGATCACGTGTCGTGATTTTCCTCTTACTAAGCATCACGGTTCGCACCGTGACATTGTAGCTCTTCGAGCTACGTCTTGTATATTAGCCTGCCCCTGCCTGTACCTGTCAATGGGAATCTGATCTGTTACGACCTGTTCCTACCAGTCATCTCCTATCATACCGTCCTGCCAGCCCGCACCCTGACACGCGCTAGCTTACGAATTAAAGAGATTTCTTAATTCTTAAAATCCTAGATAGCTAGTAAGATCCTACCCTCTTACTCTATTTAATTTCGAGAGGATTAAGTACGAACTAGTGGTATAATAGGTAGTTAATATTAAAGGGGTTTAGACTACTATCCTAGTAGTAAAACCACTTTGCTAATAGTATATCCCTTCTTAAAAGCCTAGATAGCTAGTAAGATCCTACCCTCTTACTCTATTAAATTTTGAGATGATTGAGTACGAATTGGTGGCATGGTGGGTGGTTGAACTAACTAAGATCTAACTCATGGACGCGTTTTGGCTGGGGTGGCCAGCTCGCTTACCGAATACGTTGCGGGTTTTAAAAGTTTACCCGAAACCTAACCTAGTTACCGGTTAGGTTTTTCGGGTTTATGGGTTTACGGGGTTTAGCGTAGTCTAGTTCTTTATCCGTTACAATGGGATATTTAATAAGTAGGCGTAATCTCTCACTAACTAAAAATGATGAAATCCGCTCTTTTCCAAACGACGCGGACTTCGCTATTTCAGCAGTCCAAGCATTTTCATGGTTTTCATCCACTGTTTTCAACCATGTGTTGTAACATGGTGTTTGACACTTTCTTCCATTTAGCCCCTCATAATTTTATTCAAACTACCACAAGAGATATCCTACATCAATAGTATGTATTCTAATGTCCTTGAAGCTGCTGCCCCAACCCGCCTTCCATCAAAGCTGCTCCCACGTACCAAAACTTTTGTGTCAACTGCATCCACTTTTCTTGGTGTGTACTGCTATTTTCATACGCCCACGCAAATGTACTCGCCCAACCATAAATCCGTACAGCTGGATCCCACTTTGCGGTTCCACTGCTCAATATCGCTGACTGTGATGCCCTGACTGCTAGCAATGCCTGCGCATGTATCACCCGAAAGAACGAGGTAGAAAGTTGTGCAGTCGCCCACCATCCCCGGCTCGTAGGGTGTCGGTGTGGTGATGCCGTTACCAGCCGAGGCTGTCTTGGTCGGCAGCGTGTAGCCAGTGGTAGCGACACAGACATAGTAGCCCAAGTCGAGATCGGCGCAGGAAGAGCCGACGGCTGGGTTCCAGGCGTAGAAGGTGGAGAGGGGGATATTGTATTTCGCTGCGATGGCTTCGCAGCTGTCACCGGATTGAACAAGGTCGAACTTGTTGCATTTGTCTGTCATGCCTGTCTGGGTGGGCGTGGGCGTGGTGATGCCGTTACCAGCCGAGGCTGTCTTGGTCGGCACTGTGTAGCCAGTGGTATCGACACAGACATAGTAGCCCAAGTCGAGATCGGCGCAGGAAGAGCCGACGGCTGGGTTCCAGGCGTAGAAGGTGGAGAGGGGGATATTGTATTTCGCTGCGATGGCTTCGCAGCTGTCGCCGGATTGAACGAGGTCAAACTTGTTGCATTTGTCTGTCATGCCTATCTGGGTGGGCGTGGGCGTGGTGATGCCATCGGTGAAAGTCGTCGTAGCCCCCGGGACTGTAGTGGTAACGGGGATGGTGGAGCCGGGGACGTCAACACAGTAGAAGTAGCCGGCCAGGATGTTGGAACAATCTACAAGGAGGATCAGTTACAGGTGTCGATGTCTTTAAGTCGTCTTTCTTTTCTTTCTCTTCTCGTCACCAACACCATGTAGACACAGTTCATGAAAAGTGTAGGACATACCTGAGTTGATAGATGGATTCCAGCCAAGGAACTCGCTCGCGCTGATGTCGAACTGGGCTTCTATTTTTCCGCACGAGTCCCCTATTTGAACCAGGTAAAATTGGTCGCAATTAGCGGCAGTACCCGTTTGTTGCGGCTGATGTGGAGCCGATGTTGATGATGACGACGACGTGGAAACGATGGAAGTGGTGGAAGTGGAAGTGGAAGTGGTAAGAGATAAAGAGCTCGTAGTTGGCGCAGTAGATAAAACTGTGCCGATCACACAATAGTTCTGGCCGGCCACGAGGTCCGGGCAGGTGGTTCCCGGGTTGAGAGACTCCAAAGTCTGCACGGTCAAGCCCCATTCGGCGGAGAAGGATTGGCAAGTATCTCCAGTACTGGCAGCAGAATCATAGATACAGCTGACCTGCTGACGCGGGGCCAGGGCCATTGCCCATGACAGGTGTAACTGTGTGAGTAGAAAGAGGCCTGCCTTCAGTGATGTTGGCGCCATCATGGTTGATGCTTGTTCAAGGACGGATAACTGAAATACTAGAGCAACTCAGAATCGAGCAGAGTCATACAACGGCAGTGATCAGGAAAAGCAAAGCCCTTTTCTGTTGTAATAGAGAGGACAAGATGTGACTGTCAGGCCTTTTGTATCCCAACGCGCAACTGGACAGCTATCTATCTAGCATGCTATTTCACGCCATGCATGGTGTATGCATCCTATATATTAGTATCCACCTGAGGCGTGAAATGGGAGTGGAATTGCTCCATACTGTTCAAGATGATTGGCCTTTTTGAAAATCTAGCAAAGGATAGGGTCTAAGCCAAGCCTTGCGAAGCTTTTACCCGAGACTCGTCCAATTTGCGGTTGAGGCTTTTGATTGGCTGGAATGGGGGCCGAAAAATCCGAAGGCCCTCAATTTCCCGAATGTCCCGAAGGATCGATGCATATAATTTCATGCAAGGGTCAAGGGTTTCAGTCAGTCAACGCCAGCTGCCGCCCAGTCTCATTGTAACGTCGGGTACTCGGCGTTCAAGTGCCATATGTGCGATTGGCAGGGGTTCAGTACTGGTGCATTGCTCTCGACTCACAGACCCCTGACAGGCACGTTTTGTAGAAGTGATAGAATCCATGTGTCAACTCATTATTTAAGTCCTGACTCACACATGATGATGTCTGTACTAGCATGACACCAACAAAAATTGTTTACAACCATGGATGGGCATGCCACTTTCCCCGGAAATAAATACTAGCAATCTGTGCATAGTGACTTCTCCGTACTTGCACAGTTTCCTCTCATGTATCGAGGTAACTACGGAGTATACTCTCCATAGCAGGTAATCTTCAATTTCTTGTTGCCTAGAGCAACATTTGAGCTAAACCCTATCGAAATTCACGTTGTTGCCAGGTGTGAGAATCCACTTTGAATCGGTCAAACAGGATACGGCCCCTCCTCGGCATTCCGAGGCGGAAATAGGTAGTGCGACCATTAGCTCGCCGCGGAATCATGCTCAAATTTCAGGAGCTCACATGTACAACAGCACAACAGTCAAACCCTGTAGGACTCACCCACCCCCTCCTAGATCTTTTGGATCTCGTAATTAGGGAAGTATAGAATTCTGTGGCTTAGAACAAATTGAAGCTGCTCACAACAAGGCTCCTAGCCCGCGATTTGACCTGCAGCAGCCCAAAACGTCACTAGGCTTATCAGCTGGCTGTTTTACTATGTGTCAAACCACGAATATGGCCCCCCTTAGGCCTTAAACAGGAGCCTGGGTTTTTGTTATGGTCTAGTGGTAAAGTACGCTGTATTTCATTCCACGCTATGAATTAGCAAATCCAGGGACTTGTATAATACCGAAGAGAGCAATTCGAGGAATTCGACTAGTTCAATATAATACAAAGTACAGGATCACAACCATCCTGAGTTGCAAGGCAGTACTTGTGCTCAACTCATTATACTGGAACGATTTTGATCCGAGGAAAATCATTGAACTCAAATATTCTAGATGTTGCTACAGATGAAAAGGCCCCGCTTGCCTTTTCAGGCCAGGGCTCGCTAGTGCACTAGGTACATCGTTGTCATCCAAGGTGGAACAAGGCAGTCACCATGGTCAACAGCAAAAGCAGTGTCGATGCTGCCGCCATGCGAGATTGTCCTGCGTCGTTAGGGGATTTGCCAGTAAAATGCGGACAAGTAACGTTGGGATTTACTGGACGCTGTAGAGGGTCACAGGCGAAGGCGGTGGCCGCTGCATATATGCTAGATGCGGCTGAAGGATTGATCGTCGCCGCGCACTGGTTGGTGGTCGGACTGGGCCCAAGGACGCCGCAAGTATCCCCTTTAGAGGTTACGTTGAATGCATAGGCTTCCATGGTGCCGCACATTTCAGAAGATGTGGTTGCCACAAGATTGGGTGCCTGCCCTGACTGGCTGACAGTGAAGATGGTGGTATTTTTTGTTGAGATACGTTGAGTTGAGCCTTCACCCTGAGAGCATTTATAAATTTGCAGGCTCCAGACAAAGGTCCAGAAGCCGTCCGGGTAAGCGAGAGTGTTGATGAAGCGGGTGACAAAGTGAGGTTCAGAAGACGTAAGATTCAACAAACCCAGCTCAAGGAGCCCGTCAGTGACGGAGCCCGGGGAACTCCGGTTGTTGCCTTCCCACAACTCCCAGGAGATGGCAGCTTCCAAAGTGAAAGCCAAAGGCGGACTCTGCAGCGCAAACACGATGGGCATCAATGCCTGAGGGGTGTAAGTTTCGTTGCGTGGGGATATCAAGTCCACTTCAAAAGTGCCAGAATTGGCATTTGCAATGGCACTACCCATTGCAATCACCAAGTCCGCCATCAGCGCAATCCAAGCAAGAAAGCGAACGTAGTTCATGTTGACGGACAATTTTGAAGATGAAAGGAATGAAGTTCCAAATTACCGGGCAATCCAGCTGGCTGTCGAAGGAGCAGAAAATAGGGGAATGATAATTTGACCCTTCTCCCGGGGTAAGACTAATAGTCTCCAAATTTGCACGAAAAAAAGGAGAACGAGATCAAGAGAAAAAGTAGACAAGATTCAAGTCGAATTGTTTTAGAAAGCTAAACGGGAGTCACGGCATGCCGCAGGATTTCCAGTCACGCCCGAGCTAGCCCGAGCTGGCCCGATCCCTGCACCAATAACCAATGTTGCCCAAGATAAATAGTCCGCAGGGCCCTTGTGAATTAGCGTGCACACAAAGTACAGATCCGATAGTAGTCGCCCACTATTTTGGATTTTTTTTGGATCATTATAATTACATTTCGACAGAAATCTAGGGGTACTACTCCGTATACATGGTACGATCAACGAAGATGCACAACTCCAACTAAAATGACTCGAACAGAAGATAATCTGACTTGTCTCAACATGGGACTCCTGCGTGGGATCCACTAAAACAGCGGTCCATGCATTTTCCGAGTTTTCAAGACCCAGATTTCAACCATGTTCAACCTATGTTGTTGTATTGCAATAAAGTATTCGACACAGTTCATTTACTATTCTGTCAGGCTCTAGTGCCGATTTGTGGGTTAGTTCCTGTCCAACAGCCTGAGATCCTCCGCAAGATCTAGATAGATGCATATATCACTTTGGTATTCGTGCCACCTTTTCCCAACGCACGTTTCAACCCCACTATTACGGACACAGGCAAGTGTTTAAAGGCTCTCATCTCAGAATACCAGAGGTCTCTGTGAGGCTCCGGAATTGGTCAAGGAGTCTAATTTGCTGCATCAAGCGGGCTGCTTTCGATGCCAGCTCTAACTCGAAGAGGATCGCTTGGACGCCTCGCCCAGTATGGAGGCTCAGTAGGGCCACTCTCAGAGCCCCGTAATCGGGGCACTACTTCAGGAGATGTGAGACATCGAGGGATCCTTGTTCGCATCTGCAGCATCGCCATTGGTTCCCATGTTGATTCGATCCTCTAAGGTGGAAATTACGCCAGTAGAACAATGATGGTCGTATATGGGTTGCACGACGCATCAAGTATAAAAACTACGATAACATCGCCCACTTTTCACGGGATAGTCAGGCACATCGTATGCTAGATGTCTTTGTCTTCCAACCATTCTGCGTGGCTTCGGCCGCGCATTACATTCCTTGGGTTCCTGAACATCGCTCTGTTTACCTTGTTGTTCTCTGTTCGCACATCTTCCGCCATAACGGTGCCCTTCCGGCTCCCAGCGAGTCCCGGGTATCAAGGCAGGTCAGTTGCTTGTCCAGCCCGATGTGCCGCATCGGGACCTAACCCTGCCAACTGGTCCCTGTATCACAACTTCGAACAATTCGCCTCATGCGAAGAGTCTCTCTTTTACTCCTTCTCCTTTTTTGATCCCGTCGATGACCCTGACAGCCTTCATCGCATCTACACCTGCACCTCTTTCGGCCCAGATTGGGCAAATCTGCCGGCAAACACATCGAGCCTTGTCTCGCAGTCAGACGGAGCCCCGGCGCCCGTCAACGGCACATATCAGATTGGAGATTGGCCCTCTGCTCCGGGCTCATTGGTCTCATCTTCTCTAGCTACCCTCATCAGGCAGTTTCGCCAATATCTGTCCAGTGGATTTGGCGCTGTGAACCGTCCGACCATTCTCTTCGCCAGCTATGGGTCTACCTCGGTTGGTCTTTACATTGGTCAAGGTCTGCAGAACCAGGGCATTGGTGACATTGCACTGGCACACTTGGAGAATTCCATTGCAATAACATCCAATGCTAACCTTTCGGCGAGTGTGGCCATGCAATTCTGCCAACCTGGTCAGACTTCTCGCCAGGTTTTTGGGCTGATCGCCACCGGCAATAGAACGTTCGCTGCCGTACAAGCCGCCCTCACATCGTGGTCAAAGGCGGAATGCTTGGCCTTCTCGTTGTTACAAAACGTAACAGGCACAGTCCCGCTCGTGACGCCATTGTTCACTTCCTCGACCAACCTCATCAGCACCAATCTCACCTCGACTCACGGCAATGCAACCTCCGTTCGGGGCAGGTCCCTCGCACCTCGAACCACCTGTTCTACCGTTCAGGTCATCTCCGGTGATAGTTGTGGTACTTTGGCTCAGAAATGTGCTATTACCCCGGCTCAATTCACTATGTATAATCCTGAGTCGAACGAGTGCTCTGCTCTGACGCCGGGAGAGCATGTCTGCTGTTCGGCCGGCATGTTGCCCGACTTCGCTCCTAAGCCCCAATCCGATGGCACTTGTGCGACCTACACCATCCAGCCGGATGACAGCTGTTCCACGATTGGCGCTTCATACAGCATCACGGTGGATGACATCAACAATTTCAACAACAACACATGGGCTTGGAATGGCTGCACGCGCCTCTACCCTCACAACGTTATCTGTCTCAGTACGGGCAACCCACCAATGCCCGCGTCTGTCTCCAATGCAATTTGCGGGCCACAGGTCCCCGGCACCCCGACCCCTCCCAGTGGGACGAATATCTCTATGCTGAATGAGTGCCCTCTTAATGCGTGCTGCGATGTATGGGGTCAAGTAAGTAGCTTCTTTGCTTGAAGCTCCGGTTTGTACATGTAAGCGATGATCTTACTGACAATGACCTTAGTGTGGTACAACAGCCGGGTTCTGCACAAACACTGGCACTGGTGCCCCCGGAACCGCAGCGCGTGGCACCAATGGCTGTATCTCTAACTGCGGCACCAATATCGTGCTGAGCAGTCCTCCCGCAACGTACCGCAGTGTTGGTTTCTATGAAGGATTCAACTTGCAGCGTCCCTGTCTTTTTCAGGACATCTCTCAGCTCGACATTTCTGCCTACACCCATATTTACTTCTCCTTTGGCGTGCTATCCTCCTCATATGTGGTCCAGATCCCTGACACCACAACTACCTACGAGTTCAACCTGTTCAAACAGATCAACGGCGCAAAACGCATTCTGTCCATTGGTGGCTGGGCATTTTCCACCGACCCGAGCACTTACATGATTTTTCGTGAGGGCGTCACTGCCGCCAATCGTCTGGCCATGGCCACCAACATTGCCAACTTCATAGAAGATAACGACCTTGATGGTGTTAATATTGACTGGGAGTATCCAGGAGTAAGGATATTCACAACAGTCACTTCTAACCTAGATTGCTAATAACTCTTCCCCTCTTTTCGTTACAGGCACCGGATATTCCTGGCATCCCTGCTGCTAGCACTGATGACGGTGAAAACTATCTCGCTTTCCTTGCTGTATTGAGAAATCTCCTTCACGACAAAGAAATCACGATTGCGGCGCCGTCGTCCTATTGGTATCTAAAAGGCTTTCCAATCAAGAAAATGGCCCCGCTCTTGGACTACATCATATACATGACCTACGATCTGCATGGACAGGTATGGCATCCCTCTTGATTGAGAAGGCGATGCGGGACAAAGAGAACTGACGTAGAGTCTGCTTCCTTTTCTACAGTGGGACTCAAACAATCAATGGTCACAGCTTGGCTGCCCGACCGGCAATTGTTTACGTTCGGACGTGAACCTCACCGAAATAATGGAGTCTTTGGTCATGGTGAGTTTGAGACACCCGTTGCTACCGGAAGCCGCTGCAATCCCATCGCTAATTCTACCCCTTGCGTCAACAGATAACCAAAGCAGGTGTCCCGTCCAACCAGGTCGTTGTAGGAGTGACCAGCTACGGGCGCTCATTCGCCATGGCTGAAGCGGGCTGCTACGGGCCTCTATGTAAATTCTTGGGTTCAGCCGACGACTCGCAAGCTGACCCTGGGCCATGTACTCAAACTCCAGGTTACATTGCCAATGCCGAAATCGAGGCCATCCTTGCCAACTCTAGCCGGGTCACCGAGAATTATATCGACCCCACTAGCAACACCAATATCCTTGTTTACGATGACACCCAATGGGTCGGCTGGATGAGCGATGGCCTCAAAGCCTCACGAAGATCGCTCTACATGGGTTTAGCCATGGGTGGAACTACCGATTGGGCTACCGACCTGCAAAAGTACAACCCTCCCCCCTTGACCGCCAACAGCTGGGCTGGCCTAATTGACGATGTCGTCATGGGTAAAGACCCTTACGAAGAGGGTAACCGAACCGGCAACTGGACTTCCTTAACTTGTTCGGATCCGGCCATACAAGATGCCCTGTTCATGCCATGCTCACAACGCTGGTCGGAGCTGGACGCTTCCAACGCTTGGTCAGATGCCATCAACGTCTGGAAGTATGTTGATAAACCGAAAATGCAAAGTGCCGAGCAAAGTTTCTCCTTGTCCATCATGAACACTTTCCATGCCGGTGAATTGACGGATTGTGGACAGGTCGCTCCATCTGGCCATTGTTCGAACACCGAACCGTGTGGATGGTTTCAAGGCTTCGGCAACGGCAGCGGTGATTCTGGTCCCGCGGCTATGCTGATCTATAATTCCTTTACGGTTATCAACTCGGTAAGCCTCATCACTTTTCTTCTGAGACCGAATGCGAAGAAGAGAGAGACAGAGAGTGGCATCTCAGAAAGTGGCTGACGAAATTCGTGACCTAGGCGTACTCCCAATTTTATGACGCCATCAACGCAATTGCTGGAACATACATTGACAGCCAGCTCCAGGACTTTGAGACCACTTTCGCACCGTTGCCCCCAGCCCCCAGCGACGAGTGGCTAGTGATCTTGATCAACCTTCTAGGTCTTGGTCTCACTGTGGTCGCCGCGCCATTCTTCGATGGAGGTACGTAGCGATGCAAACGTTCTGAGCATTTCTATACACAAATTCTGATATTCCGTAGTTTTTGCAAGTCTACCGGCACTTAGTTCGGCTCTTGGAGATGCCGGCGCCGACGCCGCCAAAGATATTACCAATGCCGCTGTGGCGTTTGGAGCCGCAATTGCTTCCGCTGCAATTCCTTCAAAGGCACCGTAAGCACCATTGCTTTTTAATGAACTCCCAACCCCGCAAAACTTTTGCGACATTCCTTGCATTTGTCTTGTTGTCGTAATCGTTCGAAAAATTCGCTGATCAAATCCATGTAGGGGTCAATGGACAGCGGAGTCCCAGGAAAGTTTTACTGCCACTCTGGGGTCGGTAGTCTTTGGCTGGGCTGCCATCGCCGAAAATCAACTCTGGACTTTGTTCAACGGATCAGATACCTCCATAACTCTCCTCGGGACCCTGATTGCCAATGGTAATCTCATTGAGGGCAGCGGCGGCATCCCATCGGTAAGCCCTGAACCAGACGCGGACACAAACACCCAGATCGAGGGCTACATCAGCAAGGCCTTCTTCGGCTTCGCCATCCCGTCTGTGTGGGCCGTCTCCGGCACCGCCGCCTTCGTCGTTGACTCAGGCTATCCCTGTAGCGCGCAGAACCCTTTGACCGAGTACATGACCGTTGCCACCCAAGAGGCCACCTATGCATGCTACAATGATAAATTGTACTATCTGGTCTATCCCCATGGCAAGTGGAATGGTTGTGCCGATGAGAATATTGTGAAGAACGATTGCGCTGGTTGTGACCCCGCACCACTGTGCGACCCTACGTATTTCTCTGCTCCACCAGGACTAAGCACCCTCGGCTCCGGATCCTGGGGAAACATAACCTTGTCTGATTTGATTGAGGGGTCCGTCAGAACATACGTTGCTAACGGCAATACTAACGGAGCACCCGTCGCAAACCCGATGGACAAGGATACTCTCCAAGATCTCTCAAACCAAGACATCACCACTCCCGGATATATCCGCCTCCCAGTCTGTAGCCCCCAAGTCGCCTGGGCCTCGTGGTCAACCCCATCGCAGTCCAACTCCAGCGCACCCAACTACCCTTGCAACCCGCTGCAGGGCGTGACCAAGTGCAGCGGCTACACCTACCAGGACGAGACTTCCTCCGCGTCCCCGAAGGTGTCCGACTGTCAAACTATCATTAAGAACATCCAGGGCACGAACGGCGAGTGGACCACTGGTATCGGCCACCAACGCGAAATTGCCAAGTTCGGCTCTTGCCAATTTGGCGTCCAGAATGTTGGCGTTACTGGCGACGTCACTTATTACACTGGCAGTCAGGATATTGTTAACATAATCAACGAGGCAATCTCGAGGTACGCCTCTGACGGTCTTGTCGGTGCGGCAGGGTACATGGAGTGCAGTGGTGATGCAGATCATCAGAAGGTCAAGTGGGGTGTGTATTAGTAGTGATTTGCTTTGTCACCCGCTACATGTTTGTACACCCTTCTAGAGCGCTCGACAAGGAACATTAATATCGTGTATATACACCTACAACTACTCCAAACCTTCAGATTATTACTGCTTTAGCCCATTATCAGTCTAACTAGTGGAAAAACCGCAATCATTAGCTTAGAGCTTATTATTGCTGAGTTTATTCTTTAACTAAATAGCCCTATAGAGGCGGACATTGAAATCTACTTGCTAAGAATTTCGTTTTGCTATTTGGCTGCCTTTTTCAGCAGCAGGTGACGCCGAAAATGGCCGCCTTTCAGCAACCTCCCTCCGCCACGCTCCCGCCTCCTTCGACCACGCACCACTTACTGCTTTGTACCTTAGGCTGCCATTTCGTGTGCACGTACATCCTGGGTTTCCCTGAGGGCTTATCACTTCACCACTCCTTAGGAGAGGGGGCGCCGAAAATGGCTCTATCAGCACCACCAGCTGCACTCTAGCCAGTACTCCGCCGCCATGGCTATAAATATCCTTTTCCCAACCAACCATCTATCCTCGTCCAACAATATCCTCATTTCAACTCCAGCGCCACTAATACTCTTCTTCTGATCTCCTTGCCTCTATTTAGTTGTGCATTGAAACATCTCAAGCTCTGAGGTAGTTCCTTCGCACGGTCGGCGAAATCTCTTAGCCATGTATCGCCGGAGGAGGCCCAATGCCAGCAACCACGGAATTACAAGCGAATCCTCTTATATCTCTCCCATCGATTCCGACAATGATAAACCGTTTGAGCCTAATTCCTCTGAAACCGATCTCACCGAGCGGGAGTGCTCCCCTCCAGCGGGTCGAACGATTGCTCGGAAGAAGCCAAGTCCAAATACTGGAATAAGATCGTTACCAGCAGACCTGTCGAACATAGAACGTGTCCACCAGGCCCGATACCAAGTCCCAGATGATGACACGGATGAGGACCTGGCCCAAGTGCCGGAGGATTACGGCCGATCCAACAAAACAAAGAAGTTGAAACTTCGACTCAAAGAGCGTTGGGCTTGGTAAGTGACCGGGATATCGTTCAAAGCTTACAGCGAATTTCGGCTGACCAACATGCATCATCCCAGGTTCTGCCAAATGAAAGCGATGGAGCCCTCCGTCGATTCAAAATGGGAGGATGCAGAAGATGCACTGCGTGAGGCGTCTCCAAATGAGATGCATCGGTTTCTAAATTGGTGCCTCAAGTTGGAGTATAGTCCCAACGGTCGCCGTCAGAAAGGCTATACAAAGGCCAGCGCCCTTGAAGCGGATTGGAAGTATTTCCGAATCTACTATACACGAGTAACCAAACACGAGATGAGCAAAGAAATGGGTGAGGCAGTTCGCACGGTTTGTTCTTTAACCCTTCCCCAGCTCAATCGTCTTCAGGAGACTTGCGCTGACGAAAACGGACAGGGCATGAGATACTTAGTGGATAAGCGCGGTCTTGACAAACAACCGCGGGCAAATGTACCAGTTTAAATCGAGGATATGATTCCATTCAATGAGACAATCCTTCAAACCCGGGAGAAGCGATTTCACTTGGGGTTTCAGCGGATCATCCTATGTCTCTATAACACTCTTGGGTTATTTACCGTCAACCGGAAACAGGCAATGCTTGATCTTCAGTTCAAGCATCTACAAATATCGCTCCAGCAGGATCCGTACGGAGGACCTCCGAAGCCGATGATAGAACTCGAGCCCCAGTTTGTGAAAAGCGTCCTGGGCATGTCGAAGCTGTTGGTGGCACCCCATGCTATACACCTGCCCACCCCAGGGCTTGGTTACTGCAATCAAACTGACTGGTCAATGATAATTAGAAACACGTTCGCGCTACCTGAAATTGTCTACGGTGTATCACTTGTCTTCAGCCCGCATGTTTTACTCTTCATTATATTATTTTATGTTCATGCCTTTGAAGCGCCTCACTTAACCTCGATGGAAGACCTTCGGAGATTGCTTGTCGAGGGCGGCCGACAGGAAATGCCACTTCCCTTGAAGAGAGAGACGGATAATTACTATGTTTTCCCGAAGGTTGAGGTGATCTGTGGCCAGCCCCGCATTTCGTGGGAGACGCCTATGAATGGTAGCACACTCGACGCACAACTCAGGACATCCAGTGAGATACACGGCTTCCTTAATCATTTCTTCTCTCACCAATTTCGATACGGAGGAGGTGATTTACTAGACAAGAGTGGTGAGTGGACTATAAATACCCAAGGTTCTGATTTTTCTCTAGATAAGTGAACTAACTTTTGTGTCTAGGTTTCGTCAGTGAAGCACAGCGTAATGTGATCATGGCCCACGCCACTAGCAGAACTTTTATCAAACATTATCGTCCCCGTCGGCATACTGGCTTACAAGAGATCATGTGCGGCCTCAATCCAGACGAAGAGTTCTCAAAAGCTGTGACTCGGATGAGCCGTTGGATTGATCGGCGGCGACCACGATACCTGAGCGACGCTGACCGGCAATCAGTGGAGAAAGACCCAGAACTGCAATCAGCTATACGCTGGCAAGTTGATTTAGAGACCCAGTGCGCTGATCGCTCTCAAAACCCAGAATTGCGAGCGATGCTGGAGGACCAGAGGCGACAAGTCCACAATTTGCGCCGTCGTCTGCAAGACAAACGACGGAAAGCAAAACGCCGCGATTTCAGTCGGAAACAGGCGGTGATTGACATTGAAAGACAGCTCACTGGTGGGGCTGTCAGTGATGAGCCTGCGCGCGAGGTATTACGGAAGGAGTTTGAAATGCCATCGGAGCAGATTCTTCTCGTGGAGACGTTCTTTACTTGGCCGACCACCGATTCATTAGAAGACGAATGGATGCGGCGCAACAAAGCTGTTGATGCTGGAATACAATATTGCGGCTTTCTGGAGGGTGGGCCCCTTCGGGGACGACGGAAGCGCTCTGCACTGTCCGACAATGACGATGCAGGTCCCTCTTCGCCAGCTCGAAGGATAAAACATAATACGCCGCTGAATACTTCGTGGGGGAATGAACGTACCACTGGCCGGGAACAGATCCCGAATGCAGAGCAAACATTCGCATGCTTCCAATGCCCCAAGACATACTCCGACTATAATGGAGTGAAGAGGCATTTTAGGACATCCCATTTGACGGACCGGACATGTAATTTCTGCGATTTGTCCGTCCTACACGAGATGCACTTGCGGAGGCATGCCGGGGATGTCCATGGCCTTCGAACATGAGCGTCAGATTCCACTCTTCCGATCTTCGAGGGTCTTGCGCCATGCCTTTACTTCTCTACTTATACACTTGGCGGAGCCATAGCTGGTCACTATTTCACTAAAGTATATCTTATTTGTCCCGATTATTGAGAGTCACCGGAATAAAATCCCATCGTAGTTGTTTCGACCTTTTGATTGATACATAGTCATAATAAATTCAACTGCCTTCCTCTTTTACTTATCTCTGTATACCTATTAACCTTTTGTACATCTTATCACGCCAACAAATCAGTATTATAGAAAAGTCTCTCAACAGATTATACAGTGGATCCTACCTTGATAGTCTTCCTGACTAGGTATGAAAATGACTTTATCGTTTTTCTAACACCTTATACTACAATGATTATAGTCAAAGAACCAATATTCCAAAAAGTGACGATAGTGTACAGTTAAGCCCAGAAACGCGATTCAGTTGATTCTACGGTGGATATATATTATACAGCTCTATGGTTGATTCAAATTCTTCGGGGCATTGTATACTGAGCAGCATCAAGTTAATAAAACTAATTACCAAAAGAATTGCCTATTAATATAGAAATTAGTGGCAAGACGGCTGTGACGTTGATCAAAAACTGTCTTCCAGCTAATTATACATAACAATTATCTCACTTCTTTTACTACGTTTATTGAAAAGATAACTGAAATACTATAATTGGTTTTTATTCTTCTTGCAGTCAGATTTCTGTGACAATCAATTTTTGTGTACTGGCTCTAAATCTTCTCTTGCCCGTTATGTAGTTGACTTTTCAACTCTTAGTAGGCTACTACAGTAGAAATCGAAAACAGCTTACCTCCCAGACACATACGCTGTCTCTCTCATCACGCTAAACTGAATTCGGCCAAGAGCAGTCTCATGTAGTTGATTTTGATGTATCTCTGGTACATTACCAAGCTTGCCTAATTCCAGGTTTTGGTGTGAAGAAGATCACAAAGACAGTGTGTGTCTCTGGGGGTTAGCTGTTTTCGATTTCTACTGTAATTATTCGATGCTAACCATTGTATTTTATCATTTAGCAACATGTTACCTCCATTTTTTTGCCCATTTATACGCGTTAAGGATGCAAACAATAGCTTAAAAGACAAGTAAAACAGATTCAATCGTTCATATTCAATTTAGACATGATGAAAGAATTAAGGTGTTCATGAAACATCGTTGGCCATACATACAATATCTTCCGCCCCAAATGGCACGCATTTCCTAATACCTAGGCACCCCCCGAAATTTGAGTTTTTTGTGTTATGTAACTGATTGGAAATTTCATTTTCACAGCGGTTTGAGATTAGAAAGAGCTTGCTAGTGTTGAAAGTATGCTGCATTGACATTGCGGAACGTAAAAGGTATGGCGGCCAATAATGTTGAAAGTACGGTTGTTTCACGCTGCCGCACCTATTTGATGACCGCAAATACCACCGGTAATCTTTGCCCTTCCAGTCTTGCAGGGACCCCCTTCATGACTTCAACACATAAAGGAAGGATTTTCGTGTGATGCTTCGAGGAATACTGTAGTCTTTTCGCGTTCTTTGATTGAGGACTCCCCTTCGTGCAATAACATTTATATTTATTAAGCCCTTTCTGTTTAGCGGACCTAAGTTTTATAAGAGTCCCCTCAATCTATACTTTCTAAATAGGATTCTCTACCCCCAGATATCAAGGCAACGCGCTCAATGGCCGCTATCAAGGCTATCAGGTCCAAAAATACGATTTCGAAAAGAAAATTGATGCGGCAAAGACAATGCCGCCGTAAAGCAAGTCTGATGAAAAAAGCATGCGAATATAGTAGGATGTGCAGCGCAGATGTATGCGTGGGAATTCGTGTGCGAGAAACAGGCCAGGTATATATTTTATTAGCGGATACTTCGGGATTTTGGGCTTTCCTTAGCTCACAATTAGTATGTCTCCAACTATGGCTTTGATAAAAATTGACTGACCCTTCAAGAACTCCTACTATCCAGCCCCAATGATAGTGACAGACCAGGATCTACAACAGGCTGACAGCGATACACCGCAACAACCTATATGAGGTCGTCAGGCCAAAGCGGAACCAGAAAGTATCTTGTTTTCCCATCCTCAGTCAGAGATTTTATGCAACCATTATTATAATAGTCTGATTTTTTCAACTATCAGAGCCTTACCGTTTGCGTGCTTAAGATAGCTTCTCGTTTGAGCGCCCAGTTTTGAGGCACAATAATGCCTCAGAGACCCTTCTTACCAGAAACCATCAATTTTCTATCACTTCTTCCTAGTACTCAGCTGCTTCTTCTTCAAGACTCGCTGTCATAATCCTGTTCTGGTCTTGTACACATCCCAAGGTTGGTCGACAGGCCTTGCAATCTCCCCCATCACATCTTGCTCTTTCCAAGGTCTTCTTGGTTCCTACCGTCTGTCGTTTACGATCGCCCGCTCCGCTTGGAATGTACACTGCACCTATTCCCACCCCCTAATTTTGAATCCCTACCCAGGTAAATATTCATTCGCATTCGACTCCCTCTCGTGCCTCTGTACTATCTCAAAACTTGAGAGTCTGCATCTTCAAGTTTTGCGACCGCTGGTGACTCTACCATCGCTCTTATGTTCAACTTCGCTGATTCGCCTGCCATATCCGCGTCCACCGAATACACCGAGTTTACCGCTGTCACTGTTGCTGTTCCTACCCCTAACTATTCAGATAACTGGTGAGAGCTAAAAGCCATCGTGAAGGGATGGCCCTCAATCCCCCATTGTGTTGGAAGTCTAGTGGCTGCCCATTTGGTGAGGCTCCCGCTGTCTAGATAGCGTAGTTCGAGAGAGCTCTCTCTCCCTCTTCTCTCCCCATGTCTTTACAAATATGAACTACTTTAACGTACCTTTCTGCTTTTCCGTTTCTGTCACACTGTTATCTTGATTCTCAATCCCTCAGGCCTGGAGCGCTTGAATTCGCAGAAGGCCATCTTAAAGGGGTGGCTCTCACGACTTAGCATTATATATCTCCTAGGGGAAAAAGAAGAGAATAATGGCGGTCTATTAACACAGATAAATTAGTAGGAGTGATTAAACGCTTTATACGGTGCTAGACTTTATAAGTATTAGTATAGGAAACCATCCTTACCCCTTATCCATCGTATTTGTAAACTGTTGGCTAATCGAGAGAGAGAAAGGGCCAAGTCCGTCATTTGACGTGAAAACTAAGCTGGAGAGGGAAGAAGAAAGAGGGAGTAGGTCGGCAGGTGAGGCATGCTTTATATATTACTTCATACTAACACGTGCGTCTTTCCTGATATAGCTAAAAGCCCTACATGTGCTTCATCAAGTGGTCGCCCGAACTCGACCTTTGCAGTATCAAAGATTTTTCAACTCAGCAGAATATAACACTCATTATTTATCCATAGTAATACTGACTGTATGTATACAATTTCTAGCACTTTACTAACTATAAATCATTCGATAAATCTTGAAAAATACGCGGTCCGATTACCACACTAGATATCACGTCTCTTATGATACTTGACCTCAGGACTGACGATAAGTTATCCACAATAGATCTGCTTGATTATACCAATATTGTAGGCTACCATGTCCCTTTAAGTCGAGATCAACGAAACTGATGTCAGGGTAGAAACCCCTTTTTTAAGTTCAATTTTCTTTCCCCTTTCCCCCCCTTTTTTTAAATCCGGCTCTACTCAGAAAAGTACCACACAAACATAACTCCAGGCATAGACATAAATCAGCAAACAATTTTAGCCCCAGAACATATAGCCAGCCATAAGACCTATCTATAAAAAGAAATGATTAATAAAGATCTTTGTAGTCACTGTCTTGTGGAATGTGTGACTCTTTTCCCACTCTTCAATCTTTCGAGTTTTCGCTCAAGCTTTTTGATATCTTCCTCTTTAGCTGAGGCTCGATGCTTGTGAGATCTCTTGCTCTTGTCACGTCTTAGGACTTTGTCTTTCGAACTTGCAGATGAAGACTCAGGATCTGATACATTAGAACCATCTATATCACTGCCAGCGTATTCGCTTTCATCCTCTTCCTTCACCTTGTGACTGCTTTGAAGTGGCCCGTTCTTTTTTTCATAGGCGGCTTCTAGCTCTTTCGCCTTTTGGTATATCATCTCATCGCCTCGGAAAGCAGCCCCATTAGCGATTCGACGTATAAAAGAACGGCCCTCGAGTGTAGTTTGTCCATCTTTCCACAGCACCATAGTCTTTGTCTGGGGGTATATTGCCCCCCTCTCAGGCTTGATAAATGGAAGAGCTCCAATTTCAGAATCATCGTCATCAGGAACCTTCCAACCAACTGCGATAATTCTTTTTACATCACTCCTAGTGTCTTTCCAGACTTCATCTTCTTCCCCAGCTTCGGTGATCATCTTCTTCGCTGTTCCACGCGAGCTCGTTGTCCACAATCGTGGCACAGAAGCCTTGTCATATATCTCGTACGAGCCAGCCCTAATTCTATAAATAGGGGCTGACTTATCACCATATCGAACAAAAGTTTGAGTCCCAGTGCCCTTGGGCCACCAGCTGAGAACTTCACAAGATGAGTATTGATGTTGCTCTTTTCTTGTACGCGACTCTAGGGCATCAAGATCATCGGCATCCGAATCTGGGATATCAGAGTGATCCCCAGCTGGGATATTGGCTCTGGTGTACTCCATGATCTCTTTAACATCAATATTCCATTGAGGAGGTAAATCATGGCTGAGATTAACGCGAGATAGTTGGTTCTTGACCATGTCACATTGATTTTGAATATTAGGCAGTTCTTGCAGTAGCTCTTCCGGCTTCAACGAGTTAAGATAATTTCCCAAGAACTTTAAAGCGTCATGATGCTGGCGACTTGGGATGAGATAATCTTTTGGCTCTTTATCGAACTTGAGACATTTTTCGCGAATTTCCACGTTGAGAGCATCAAAGAATGAACAAACTTCATCAAGTCTGTCATGTCTATGAAGGACGATCTGTGTCAGCTCACCATCACCCTCTTCTGAGTGCTTTTCATTGATTAAATCACGGATAGCTTCCTCGATTGTTCTTTCGTCGATCTCGATAGGACTTGTGCTACCTTGGTTGTCGTTGCCATTGTCTTCGACACCGGTAACCACAATATTATTGCTTGAGGGTTGAGCTGAGCCATTACCAACTACAATAGTAGGAACCAGGCTGCTCTGCACGGAGCTATCTCCTCCCGTAGGTCTTTCATGTGGTACTGGCGGGGTGTTGGGGGTCTGTGACTCAACATGTTGACCCTGATGACCGGATAGTGTATTTTGCGACTCTGGTTCAGGCGTGGGCAAATGTTGCGGATTCCTATATTGAGCATGTTCCTCATCCTTATGGGATTGGTTTAGCGTTGTAGGCGGCATTTTATTCACTGTTAGCCCGAGGCGAGGTACCTAATAGTATGAAAATACAACGCTTCAAGACTTCTGGGGGAGGGCAGCCCTTTATAGAGAACCATGTCACTCATGGAACTCCACAGTCGTTTGAATGATATCAAGAATAGTCGCCGCACCGGAAATGGTCACTGCACCGGAAATGGTCACTGCACCGGAAATGGTCACCGCACCGGAAATGGTCGCCGCACCGGAAATAGCACTCATTACGCAATTAACGGTCTTTTTGGGCAACAGTCTATACCAATTCATGCAACTTGGAACGGACACCGCTGGTACATAGTGCTAGAGTCGCTAGAGTCTAATTTGATGCTTCGTGAATCCCATAACACACTCTAAGCGTCTAAACCAAGCTTACGATCCCTTACAGTGCGTCCCGAAACTGGTGCAACCACCTTTACTTGTCGATTGACTTTCCCGCCTCTTGCGCCAAAATACACTAGTTCATATTGGGAGTTTTTCTGGAGTCCTCTGCTAAGTTATGCGTGTAATATTACGTATGTAGAGTACATTGTAATTCTAAACTTGGCTTGGATTGTAAAATCAGTTTATCTGACACCTCTATACATACCCTATATCTAAAATAAGTCTGTTCTCAAAGTGGCTGAAGTATTTATATAACCACTTACCTACACCTACAAGAGCGGTGAATGTTCAAAGTCATCTATTTTACGATGAAACGGTACACCATAGGTTGCCAATACTGTAAACATGATAATATTGTTATAATAATTGAATATATATTTGAAAAAAGCAGTTTAGACACTAAGTCCTTCCAAATTCTTGCTAAGCAGATCCTCAGCAAAAGTTGCCGATCGAATTTAGAGTTCCCTTTTGTATATGAGTATTTGCTCTTTGCAAGGCCCGTATGTATCATGTCGCCTTTGAGGTCTTTGAAATCCCAATGAAAAAAAACAGGAATAGTTTTACGTTGCAGATATGATAAGAGTCATTAATAAAAGCCTATTAAAACATAAAATCAATTATTAGCCTACACAATCTTTATAGCAATATATTTACGACTATTAATAGGGCTTAAATAATCAGACTTTTATAGTTCCAGCTGAAGTTCTCCAATATCACACAAAGAGCTCTGGGGATTTACCTCACTGAGAAGGCCATTCCTTCAATCAAATTTAGAGAGCCCCTTCTCATCCTCCACCCGCTTAGACCTGAATACTACAGATCAACAGCAAACAACAGCGCATTTATCAACACTATAGATCTAGAAGGATATTAACAGAAGAAAAAGGATAAGCAGAATTTGTCGACTACTTTACAGTCCTCTTTAATATAATAGGAACTAGGTCCTTCTCATACTAAAGTGTGTATTACCTAGAGTAAGATTCGCCATTCAGGGATCAGACAATTCAACCACAGTGTAGCCATGTAGAGATTGAATTGCTTGGAGCAAATAGCCGGATCCTTGTGAGCATCTAAGCTACAAAGACTCCGAGTATATAATCCACTGCATTATCTGCGCCTCTTGCAATTGAATCTTTTCCTGGGCCTCCTGAATGATTGACTCTTGTTCTTGGATTTTGATTATGGCGTTTGAAACAATTCGGCTTTGTTGAAGGTATCGTTCTTCTGCTAGCTGTATTCTCTCCAACATTTTACTGTTATCATCCTGTAGGCGAGATATTAAGTCATGGGTAAGGTTAGACTCTTGGTGCTAGAAACAAGAGTAAGCTCGTGTATGATTCAAGGTCTGTCTTAGGTGGGACACCTCTGCAAATATAGCGTAAAATCCCGATCCAATCTCTTCACATAACTGCATATAGGCACCAACAGAGTGTTTACTGAGATGCTTTTTAAAAAGTGGTCGCAGATATAGACTTTGCACTTTCCATGCATATATTCTATCGCCCTCGGGAGGCTTAAGCCTAACGTCAGACGGTTTAACTCTTATTCTGAGAGTTTCGACTGTGATTTCAGTTAGCCCCTGTTTGATGATTATGTACCGGTTACACCCACAGATATGCTCCGCAAGACGCTTACGACATATTTTTCTCCACATAGCACGCTTTTCATTCCCAACAGTCTCGCGGCTGTCGTCAGTCATTATCATAAATCTTAGACGAGGGTGAATTTGTGGCCTTGTCCCCGGTCTTTATAGTCGACCACATTCCGCGACCCATATTCTAGGGTTGCGGTATCAGGTTTTCCAGTTATGACAAGGCAATGTTACAAGAGTACCCAGGTAAGTCTAGCGTAAAATTATTTTCTTGACCAACCACCTGGGCTGGGCACCCCCGGGGCCTGTGTCGAAGTGGTTCAGGCCGTATATACCTTACAGTCATCAATTAACTATCGCTAAAGAATATAACCTGCAATAAATGAAACAAAACATTTCTTCCTTGCATATCTAGTGAGAATATAAGAGCGTGATAGCGGTTTGATGTATGTACTGAATTGCTAGGCTTCCCGGGTCTAGACGGCGTAGTTCGAGAGCGCGCTCTCTCCTTTCTCTACCGGTCTCTAACAATAGATACTGTATGTATTAATTCACTGGATACAGTGGTATTCGAAATCAGTTTTAACTCTAATCCCTCTTACTTCTTTCCCAAAGGCCCCACCTTACTGTAGCCGCTCTAGACCATATCAAAATCTTCTTCTGCGGACCTTGCGTTCGTCCTGATTTCACAGGGTATAATATTTCTTGACATTCCTCACATTTAAGGAATATGACATTGGTTTTAGATCTACTGTGCCCCTTGTTTCGTTGCAGGCGTGAAGAGGCTCACGTGGGTTATAAAACAATCGTTATTATCTTGAAGAGGCTCGTGTTTGTTCAATCTTGTGACAAGCCGGGGTTTCGTGACGTCATATACAGACACCATGTGACACGCTGAAGACACTCTGTTAAAAATGACTACAAAAACTAGATTAAACCTCGTTTATGCAGTAAAAGTATGCGATCATGGCTTCCGAAAACTCCGCTCAACTTGCAGTCCTTATTG